AATAAATTAAAAATAAAATAAATTTTAAAAATTTTTAAAAGAATTAGGCACAACAGAAAAAAGGAATGATGGGGCAATATCTACAAAGACAATAACACAGAAATTGGCTGGAAGATGGAACCCAAACTTAGTACTTCAGAAGCCTGAATTCCATGAAAAACAAAGAGATTAAGAAGAAATAATGATTACAGAATGGGGGCAGGGAGGTTTGACAAACTATAACTTAAGTGCTATGCCACCAACTTATATACACCACAAATTGGAGAATAAAACTCAGAACAGCCAAGAAAGGAAAAAAATTAATAATGATAAAGCAAAAAAAATCCATCTTAGATATAGAAAAAGAAAAAAAAATCTAACTAACTAAAGATATTGGAAAGGAGAAGGGATTTAGAACTAACCACACTTAATGGAGCACAGGAAAATACAAAGAGGAAAGGGGGAAGAATTAGACAATCAAATTAAAAGAAAGAAAAAGAAATCAATAATTTAAGTAAAACCCAAAACTAAGGAAAAGGTAGAACAAAAGGAGAAATGGGGAGATGTTAAGGGGTAAAAAGTGCCTATGGGACACAGTTAAAGCAAAGTAGTTTAAACAAAACTAATAACAGGAACAAAGTACTAACTTAAAAGAGGCAAGGAAACAAACACACAAACAAAAAAGCCTTTAAAAAAATACTAATGAAACACAAAATGGAGGAAAACATAAACCTAATGCTCATAATTTTACAGGTAAATTAATTCAATAATCCAATAAACTGAAAGATAAGAATGAATAAGAAAACAAAATCCCACAATCTATTGCTTATAATAACATATCCCAAAAAGCAAAGATACAGATTTAAAATGAAAGGCTGAAAGAAAATGTGCTATAAATGCATCAGCTGAATCCAAAAAAGCAGAAGCTACCAACATGATATCAGACAAAACAAAAATAAAAATTCACAACATAAACAAAGATAAAGAAATTAAATCACACTTAAAGAAGGCAGACAACAAACCAATATTAATATTAAACTTCCACGCCCAAATGGCATAACTTCATAAAGGAAAAATTAATTGGACTACAAAAAGATAATAGATAGTAATACAATAATAGTAGGAGACTTTAATGTTTATTCAGAGTTGGACAAATCTAACAGAAAGATAAACAAAAGAGAAAATACAAATTCAACTGTTGTACAATTTAGAACTGAAAGACTTCTAACATCTTTTGAATACATTCCTAGCAAATATACATATTTCTCAGTTCCACATGGCACTTTTACAAAAATAGGCCATGTACTAAAGCACCATGTACTAAATTTTAAATAAATACAAAATAATGAAATACTAAACACAACCTTTAAAGACTATAAGACTAAGAATAGGGACTGGACCTATGATTTCACTGGTATAGGTAACTCAGGGAAAGAAACTCCCTCTATAAATTCAGGTTGGCACCTTCTCTGAAATAAACAGACTCATAGTTGCCTAGAGCACCAAAAGGCTAAGTAACTTTCCAAGGGTCAAAGAACCAGTACACATATATCAAAGGCAAAACTTGAACCCAAGTTTTCCTGACTTCCAGGAAAACTCTCTTTACCTTATATCATGCTGTCGCTTTATAGACCATAATGTAATAATAAAAAAAAATGCAATCAATTCAAGGAACACAAACAAAAGACAGAACTAAATGGAAACTTAATAATGAAATCCTAATTAAAGAGTGAGCCAAAGAACAAGTAACAGAAAAAAAATTAATAACTACATGAAAGACAATGATAATGAGACAACACAACAAAATTTCTAGGATACAAATGAAGCAATTCTCAGACGAGAAATTAAATCTCTAAAAACATACATTAACAAGACAGAAAAAGATAAGTGAATTTTTTTTATTTTAAAAAATTAGGAAGCCAACAAATAAACTCAAAATAAGCACAAAAGAGAAAATCTTAAACATTAAAGGAGAAACAGATAAATTAGAAACTAAAAAGATTATACTGATAAATAAAAGATGGTTCTCTGAACTGACTAAAATACTGAAAAATCTTCAGTCAACCTGATTAAAAAGAAAGCAGAAAAACAAATTAACAAAATCAAAAAAGAACAAGATGAAATCACCACACCAGAAGAAAGAAAAAAGAATTGTTGGAATCCACAATGTATACTTATGTGCCAAGAAAACTAAAAATATAAAAGAAATAGAGGATTACCTTCAAAAATACACAATATCCAGACTAAAGAACAATAAATAGTAAATGACTCAATCTCAGAAAAGGAAATAGAACTAACTGTAAAGAAACTACAAAAGAAAAAACCAGTAAAGATAGATTTTCATCATCACAACTAACATTTATATAGCACCTACTATGCCCAATGCATCATGCTAAGCACTTTACAAATATTATCTCACTTTATCCTCACAACAACTCTAGGAGGTAGGTGCTATTATCATCTCCATTTTACACCGGAAGCAACTGGGACAGATGGAGGTTAACTGATTTGCCCAAGATCACACAGCTAGTGTTTGAGACCACATTTGAACTCAGGTCTTCCTGACTGCAGGCCCATCAGCTCTATTGACTGAGCCACCTAGTTGCCTCTATAAGAATCTTATAAAATTTTTAAAAAGCAATTACTATCTTTACTATACGAGGTATTTTCAAAAACTGAGAAAGAAACCACTCTACCAAACTTGTTTTATGAGACAAATATAGTACTAAAACTAAAACAGGGAAGGATAAAGCAAAGAAAGAAAACAATAGACCAATGAATATTGATTCAAACATTTTAAATAAGATCCTGGCAAAAAGACTACATCAACTTATGCTAAATATAATTTATCATGATCAAGTTATATTTTTACCAAGGATACAAGGACAGTTCAATATTAGGAAAACAATTAACTCATAAATGAATCATATTAAAAACAAAGATATCTAAAACCACGTGATAGCTGAATAGATGCAGAAAAAGCTGTTTACACACCACAGCACTCATTTATGCTAAAAAAAAAAAGCATAGGAATAGAGGAATCTTTAATATGACAAAAAGTATCTATCTAAAACCAAAAGCAAATGTTATATATAATGGGAAAAAACTAGAAGTTTTCCCAATAAATACAAGAATAAAGCAAGAAAACTTTCTTTCCCAGCTATTATTTGATATAGTTCTACAACTACTAGCAATAGCAAAGAGAAGAGAAAGAAATTAAAGGCATAAAGGTAGGTAAAGAGGAGGCAAAACAATCCCTATCTGCTGATAATATATGGTTTGTTTGGAAAATACTCAGGAATCAGCAAAGAAACTAAATGAGACAATTAACAGCTTCAGCTAAAAAATATATCCACAAAAATCAATAGCATTTCAATGCATCAATAACAAAATGCAGGAAAGAATAATAGAAAAAGAAGTGCCATTCAAAGTAACTACAAAATGCATACAATATTTGAATCAATCTACTAAATCACCCTTAATACCTGTATAGTTTCAATTACAAGATGCACCTTATAGTAATAAAGGCCAAGGTAAATAGTTGGAGGAATACATGTAGTACTTGTGGTTGGGCTGTGGCAGTATAATAAAATGACAATACTACCAAAGTTAACTTATAGATTTAATACTATACCTAACTCCCAAAGGGATACTTTACAGAGCTAAACAAAATAATTTTTAAAAATTCACTTGTAGGAATAAAAAATTCCTAGACTCTTAAGGGAAATAATGGGCAAAAAAAGTAAGAATGAAGAAATATTATCACTCATAGATCTCAAACTATATAATAAAGCAGCAATCATCAAAATCATTTTGTACTTGTTTAAAAAAAAGAAAAGTAGATCAACAGACAAGCTAGACAAGGAAAAATCAGAAATAATTGAATTCAACAAACCAGTGTTCAATAAACCCAAAGAACAAATTACTTAGCAAAGAATTTTCCACCTTATAAAAACTATTGGGGAAACCAGAAATTAGTCTAGAAGAAACTGAGCTTAGACACCCATCTTAACACCATATTCCACAATAAGTTCAAAACAGAAACATGATCTGAATATTAAAGATCATACCATAAAAAAATAGAAGGAAAGCAGATCATATACCTTTCAGAGCTATGAACAGAGTGAATTCTTAAACAAAGGACGAGACAATTATGAAAGATAAAGTAGATAATTTTGACTAATGAAACTAAAAGCTTTTACAGGAAACAGGTTAAGAAGAGAAGCAGCTGACTGAGGAAAATCTTTTTATCAAATATCTCTGATAAAACTCTATCAACAACAATATGGTTAAAGAATCCTACAAATCACTAAAAAGTGATTTGTAGAGAGCACTAGTGAGGTGCTGATCAAAACGACCCAGAAGTTTCACCTCACATCCCAAAAAGTGGCAAAGATGAGAAAAAATGGTAATAGTCAAAGTTGGAGGGATTATGGAAAGACAAGTATATGCATTGTTAGTGGAGCTGTGAACTGGTACAACCATTCTGGAAAGCAATTTAGAATTATGCAAATAAAGTGATTAATATGACCCCAGAGATTCTACTGCTAGGCTTATATCCCAAAAAAGGTCAATGACAATAAGAAAGGCTTCTCCATAAGCACCAAAATATTTATAGCAGCACTTTTTCTGATGGTGACGAGCTAGAAATAAATAGATGTCCACCAAGTGGAGACTGGCTAAACAAACTGTGGTACATGAATGTAATAGACTATTTCTGCTCTGTAAGAAACAAATATAATAAATGTGGAGAAATATGGAAAGATGCATACAAAACAATGCAAAAAACAACCAGATCCAGAAAAATAATAAATACAATGACTACAACAATGTAAGTGAAAAGAACAATAAGCTTGGCCCCCAAAGACAACATATGAGTAAACACACCTTTCCTCCCTACACCTCCTTTCCAAACACGGGGGGCCAACAGTGTGGAATATGTATGCAGCTTCAGACTTTTCCTGTCATGACAGGCAGAATGGGCCCCACCTGTCCCTGGCCCAACATTTAGTTCAGCTCACCTCCCAGATGGGTCCATCCAGGACCGGGGACAATCCATCTATATCCAGCAGTTGTTCAGAGATCCGACTTCGAAAACCAAAGTCCTAAGGGCAAAGGAGGTATGTGTATGAATTTGTAACCCAAAGAGACCAAAGGCAATCCTAAATCTACTACATATTCTAATCCTCACTGTTCTCCATCATGGTCAGTAGAAGCCAGGGCCCCACCCAGTTACTGCTGCATCCCTTTCTTCCTAAGGCATGAGCAGTCTTACAGAAGAATTATTGTAGTTGTCATTCAGATATTTCAGTCGCGTCTGACTCTTCATGACCCCATTTGGAGTTTTCTTGGCAAAGATAATGGAGTGGTTTGCCATTTCCTTCTCCAGCCCATTTTTCAGATGAGGAACTGAGGTAAACAGGGGTAAGTGACTTGCCCAGGGTCACACAGCTACTAAGTATCTGAGGCTGGATTTGAACTCATGTCTTCCTGACTCCACAGCTGCCCCGACAGAAGAATCCCTAATCTTAACAAAGGGATTTGGGTGCTACCACAGTTAGTAAAAAGCAACTGCTTACATTTAAATATCAGACCTACACACCAATTTGCTCCAGGAGGTATTATCCCACAGGCACATAGCTACCCCTGCTCTCCCAGTCTGAGCGCTCCTCTTTGATAGTTAAAGGACTGCGACCTGACCACATGCTAATTAGAACAGGTCAGCCATTAGCACTGATAAACAGCATGATTCTCAGCCAAGGCTCTGGTCCTGACGCCCATAGCTCTTTCTATCCACAACCCAAAGATGTTTGAAGGCATCCTCCTTCATGTGGATAATTCCTTTTTCAAACAGTCAGGTTCATTCTTCCACATGCCTTGCTGACATGACTACTCTTCTCAGACCATATTTACCAATGACATTTTGGCCCTATGCACCCTACTTCTAGGTTTCTGGAGTCCTCTCCTCTAGTAATAGTTCTGTTTTGGCTTGGATCCTACCCTAGTTTTCCCCAGCTACCATCAGTCTTTGTAAACCTGTAGGGCAGCTTGCCACAGGGGGCCCACAACCTCTTCATTTCTCCATTTTTCTTCCTAACCTCACAGCAATTTTTTTTGTCCTTCCCTATTAATCCCTTCTTTTTAATCTTCCACCTACTTACAGATACTGGACTGTTTCTTGAACTGCTGCCCCAACAAAAAATGAAACTCCACCAGTTTCTCCCCTTAAGTGAGGATGCCAATCAAAAAACCAAGGATACCAGGCAAAAAAAAATGCCAGGCAGCAAGGTAGAAAGTCTAATATGGAGAAAAAAGGGAGGACACCATGGATGGAACACTGAATATAAGACCAGACTTAACTGATACTTTGGTTAGTTTTGCTGAATTGTTTTTCCCCTTCTTTTTAATGGTTTTTAGGGATAGCTCACTAGGTAGGAATGAGATTTATTCAAAAATTAAGAAATCATAAAAATAAAAGATATCAATAAGATATTTTTAAAAGAAAATATAATGGTGACAACATTCTGACACAAAACTTTACCTTTATAGAAAACACTAAAGTTCTGGGATTGATCCCCACCCCAGCTCCAAGACCATAAAAATAAGGGTGACCCGACCCCTATCTTTGAGCTTCCAGGTTGATATGATATACCAGAGGAAGTCCCTGTGAGTCTAGATATAACTCTGACTTACCAGGCCAAGAAATGACTTGGGATCAGAACGATCTGAAAACTGCAACTCTTTCACGTGGTCACTGATTTCTGACTCCTGGGTAAAGATCCATAAAGAAAAATCATATAATTGAATACACTACAAAAGATTTATAGCTATACCAACACAATCAAGAGAAAGGTTCTGCAATTATCTGTAAAATTGAATTCAGTTCGCACTGCAAGCACATATATTTTGGTCTGCATAAATCATTCCTGCCCAAAAGAAAAAGAAATCTATCTGTCCTAGCCTGAACGATCTGGATAGCTGTATGCCTTCTCTCCATAGTAACTGCCACATTCTCCACACTTTGGCTGGGCAGATCCAGTATGAATCTGTCCACAGTTAGTTCAATTCAAATCAACAAGGACATAATTAGGAGAAAGATGTCTCTGAGACGATGGAAAAGTAACATAACCAGGTGTGGTGGGCAAGGACAGACACCCAGGGGTAGGGTCCAAACCACAACTGTAAAAGACAATGGGAAGGAAGGGAAATAGAGAGTAGGAGACAAACAGAGCATTAAGATCCCTGGAGGTGCCAGATGAAAAACCAACTTCTGCTCTGAATTTCCAGTGCCAGCAGGTTAAAGCCTGGTTCAGGATTTTACTGCCCTACTGGGCCCTGGAAATATTTGTCACAACTAAGGGTGTTGGCTCTGTAACTGTTTCTGACAGTCTACTGAAGGTCTGCAAATGGAGCTTCCTGCCTTGGTAATAAAGATGCAGGCCTAAGATTCTGTAGCATGCTTACAAAAGCAGCAAGGAAGCAGAGGCAGGAACCGCCTACATGAGAAGGTGACTTACTTCATTGACGTCCAATCTGCTCTCTGTTTTTGGCTCTGTCGGTTCCTTCTCTAGTTCATTCATTGCCTCCTTTGTCTCACAGCCCACCTCTCCAGCCACCACTGGGTTTTCCAACGACTGCGTGTTGGCTGCTCCAGTACTTTCAACAGTCCCCGAGTTTACCACTTGAATCATTTGTGGCCGGGAGGCCCCAGGGTCACCCTTCTCACTGTCTTCTTTATCTGGGAGCCAAGCACTTGCCAGCTTCCCTCGTCGGCCTTCGCCATCTGTACTGCCCATGTTGCTACCTACACTTCGGTTGAAGAGCTTGTCAGAAGTCCGCGGGCATGGGACGTTTGAACCCTGAGATGTTTCCTTCTTATCCTCTAGTTGGCTTCTTGGAGACTCCTAGGTAGCAGGTGGATAAATGTTTTTTTAAAAAAAACTGCTGGGGGAAGCTGCAAAGAGAGGTTAAGATACTTAACAAAAGTCTAATAAATTTTATCAACGGTCAGCTAGAATCCTTCATTCATTTAACAAGTACATTCTGAGCACTTATTAACTACCAAACACTATGGGATATACATAGAATAAGACATAGTCCTGGCCGCCAAGGAACTTATGGTCTAATAAGGGAGATGATACAAGTATATAAATGACTATCAATACAGATATACATATATGTATATATGTATATGTCTTGATATGTCATATAGAATTGTCACATATAATTGTTATACAAAAAGCAGAAACAAAGCGCTATGGAATTTTGAGGGTGAGAGGGATTACTTTCAGCTTAGGAGATCAGGAAAGGCTTCATAACAGAGAGAACATTTAAGCTATGTCTTGAGGGTGGAGTAGAATTTCAAAAGAAAGATATAGGGGAAATGCATTCCCAGTATAGCAAATAGCATAAGTAAAGGCAGAGAGGTCATGTTCAGGTCTTGTTTAGGGAATGGGGTAGTAAATGCAAATAGCAGGAAGTAAGGCTGGAAAGGTAAGCTGAGGCCAGATTCTAAAGGGCTTCAAAAGCTAGGCAAAGGGGTTTAGGCTTTACTCAACAGACAGCAGGAAACCAATGAAAGTTTTTGATCAGGGGAGTGACATGATCAGAGCTTGTTATAGGAAGATTAATCTGACAGCTGTGTAAAACAAACTAGAGAGACCTCACACTCTGTGAGGGAAGGAGAGTATTAACTATAGTAACAATAGTAGGAATGGGGAAGATGGGATGGATATGTAAAGTACTACAAACAAAACTGACCCAATCCAGCATTTGCTTGCATGGAGGAGGATAAGGAAGAGAAAGAAGTCCAAAAAATGACTGAAGGTTTTCAGCCTAGGTGCTTGGGAGGATGGTGGTACCACCCAGCATCCCCAATCCTAGACTATACTGCCTCCCACAAAAATGTAGGTTACTTTAAATGATGACTATGAAAGTGGGTTCACTCATCTCAGGCAATACTCACCACCTACCACTTCCACCATAAAGGGTCAAGCTGTCCCTGGCAGTACTGACACCCTTCCTGGTCCCAGTCTCTGAGACAGAAGGTGATAAGCAGACTCAGAAATCAATCTTTTTAAAAACACACCACCTGAGAATCATGTGAAATTAAGAGATATGTTGAGAGAGCCAGAATTTCCTTAGTATGTCTATTACTTCCACCTACAAAGACCACAAGCCCTCTTCATGAGTTACTATGGCACACACGTGCACACACATAAAATCTCCTTGCCAAGTGGCCAACCTTCTAGTGAGGAGCCTCCCAAGTTCAAACCAGGCTGGTTCACATTCTCCCTCACTGGCACCTTTCCAGGCTTATCAGGGGCCTTACCCATCAGAACTTGGGCTCCACTGGCAGGGCCTCTGAGAAACCAAGGTCACCTCCATACCACATTGAACCCTCAGAGGAAGACTTCAGTGGATGGCAAAAAACTAAACCACCCAAATCAGGGGGGTCTTGGGTAGCGTTGGGGAAATTGCTAAGAAAAAGCACTGGGTTTTGACATGAATGTGAGACTCTTTTCACCCCCTAGTGGACTAGAACATCTAGCATACTCTTTATGAAAGACTAGGACATTTAACAAATAATGGCCCATTGTGTTACTCTGTTCCCAATCTTCAGCTACTGGAGTGGTGCTAGAGGCAGGGAGTGGAGGGAGTCAAGGAAAACCAAGGTAAAAGCCTAACTGAAAGCTAAATGAGGAAGGCAAGAATGAAATAAAAAGAGTATTGAGATAATTCTGAGAATTTTTTTAATCTAAGTTTTATATAACCTTTTTTTTTCTTCCATTTCTTCCTCTACTGCCTCCAAAGGTGGTGGGTTCCACCTGCTTGGAGGTCTTCCAGCAGAGGTCCGACAACCTTCTGAATGGTATGTTATAGGCTGGCTTCCTTTGGTGCATGGGTTGGACAGCTCAAATGGTCACCAACCTTCCTTACAACTCTCCCGTCCTGGGATACAGTATGGAAATCCCTCCAGGATGCAGATCCCTAGTCATCAGTAACTTACAATTTTAGAAAGTTGCCTGGGAGCACTGAGAAGTGGCTTGCCCATGGTCACACAGCTGGTGTGCCTCTGAGGCAGAATTTACATCCAGGTGTCTCTGACCCCAAAGATGACCCTCAATCCACAACACTGCCCCTTCTTGGTCTCCAGAACAGATAATGAAACATATCTCTCCCTTCCCTCCTGAAAGAGGAGTATTAGGAATGTGTAATGCTGCATACACTGTCAAACACAGTCATCGTGAGAGTCTGTTCTGATGAAAGGTTTCTGATACAAGAGAGGATTCAATGAGTATCATAGAAAATGACTGGGATATGAAAACAAAAAGCATCAATAAACTATTTTTTAACCCAGTCTATCTTTAGTAATGAGGTCTGAGTAAGGGCTTTTTGGGCTGTACCTGGGGAAATTCCAGAGGCTCCAAGGGGCCAAGATTTGGTGGTAGCATCTACCTAGAATTTATGAGGCTTGGGGCTTCATTAAGTAGCAGCAGGTCGAGAAAAATCAACTCAAGGTTTTCATTGCTACACTCAAGGTTAGCTATTTACTGAGAAGTTCGGAGTATATTGTAATGCTAGAGGAAAAACACAAAGACCTAGGATTGTGTGTCTTCTTTTCAGTGCTTTTTCTTTTTAATCGAAAAAGTCTGAGTTAGAAATCTGTGATTTTAAAAGGCAACAGAGACCCCCTCCTTCTATGGCAGCTGAAGATGCACTCCCTAGTTCCCTGGATGCATATCCCATAAAGAATGCTGACCTTGGAAGCTGGAGATGAAGCCGATTGAAGCACTACTTCCTATACACAAACCTTACATTTGTCTGCCTCTAGTCAATCAATCTGCCTCAGGTCCAATCACAGCAGGAAAGTAAAAACCACACTCGGAAATGGGGCCGGTTCAAGCTCTCCTGGGCTCACACTGACAGCAGAGGGAGGGGTAGTTTTCATCCCATAAAACATTCACACTAACATGCTTGTGCCACTGATTTGAACAACTCTGATGAGAGGTTTTAAGACTTTGTAGTTCTCTGCCCTGAATGTTCAATCAAACAAGAAGCAAAAAATCACTGGAGAGCAAATTAAACAACAAACACAAAAAAAGAACTTAGAACTTATTCGGTGTTTTCCATCTAAGGATAATAACTGTTCACTAACCCCAAAGGTACTGCTTGTAGCTCCTGCATCTTATTAATAAGCCAACACAGAATAAAGACGGTGTATGGTGACACTCTTATGATACCCAAAGGGTTGTAAGGGAGAGGAGACGCAGTAGTCGTGAGCCATACATTAGCTGCCACTAAGCTGTTCCTGATCCAGAAGAGAAATGAAGGGTGAAGTAGATAGAGGAGCACATGTGTATGCATGCATACATGTGTATATGTGTACATATATGTGAATGTGTGTGTGTATATATACATACAGGCGTTATATGTATATATGTACATACATATATATGTATACATGTATGTGTGCATATATGCTTCCTACTATGGTAGACCACAGCCAGGAAAGTTTTCCTAGACTAAGCCACAACCTCACCCAGAAGCAAAATCTGCCATTATCAGGGTAAAGGAAATAGGAGCTTCGTGCAAATGGTATCCAGCTCTTTTAACTTCACCATGCTAGCAGAATTTCTCAAAGGTCTGAGAAAGGTTCTGCTCCTCAGAATAACAAACTTCTTGTGGATGGCAATCCAACCCAGGGGAATGATACCCTGTCCCAAGGAATCATGCTAGGGCATCATTATCCTGGGCTTGGGTTTATTACCCCAAGGAGTGGTATGCTGGAGTTTTTTTGTTCGTTCGTTTGTTTGTTTGTTTGTTTGACTGGGTTTTTTTTTTGGGGGGGGGTTGCTAGGCAATGGGGTTAAGTGACTTGCCCAGGGTCACAAAGCTAGTTAAGTGTCAAGTTTCTAAGGCCATATTTGAACTCAGGTCCTCCTGACTTCAGGGCCAGTGCTCTATCCACTGAGCCACCTAACTGCCCCGGTATACTGTTTTAATGTGCAAAATGTTTCTTGAGAGCTGATTAAAAGTCAGAAGACATCAGACACAGGGAGATTTCTCAAAATTAAGCCCTTTCCATTACATCAGGGATTTGTAAATCACAGAATTTCTCTACACTAGACGACTGGATTAAACTCATTCTATCCAATCTGTAATTCTGGATCCTCATAGAGCAGGGATGATTCAGCAAATAATTCAGAAATTCAGAAAAACTGACTTTCTAAATGTTTTCCTCGAGAGGTGTAGCATTGGTCTTAAAGACAGAAAATCAGGGTTCATGTCTCAGTTCCTCCATTACTTAAGTAGCCCTGAACAAATCATTTAATTTCCAAACCTTCCTCACAGGGTTCTTATGAGGCAAGTACTTTGAAAACCTTAAAGCAAAATATGACAGTAAGTTACTATTATGCTACATTGAGACTAAAATTAATATAGGCTGGAATCCATCACCAAACATAATGACAGCAGAAAAAAGAGGGGAATAAGGCCTCCTGCATGTCAGGGGAACACGAAAACAGAACTAAATATTTTTTGCAGAGAAACACCATGTAGATAATTTTACATGCAGATAAAGAAGAGCAGAATGCTTTAAAAAAAAAAACCTTCATGCTTTCACAAATTTCTGCTTTCATTTCATTCCCCATCCTCATCCCACTAAATCCAAGAACATGGGACTCCTAACTAAGGCATGAAGCTTCTGACACAAGCTGCCCGACCTCCTGCGCTTTGTGGGCCGTATGGTAAATGCTTTGTTACTCTCTGTTCAGCACAGTTTTGTTCTCTAGTCAGCCGTGACTGGCCCTGTTCCCTCCTCCTTTGTCATAGCCCCAGGTTCTGGAGCATTTCTAAGCAAGGTTCTGCTATGGTTGCAGAAAAACCCTCGCCATCTGCATGC